TATATATATATATATATATATATATATATATATATATATATATATATGTACCGTAACATACACAAATATGTACAGTAATCGTTTTTTCCTGCATAGTGCAGGTAACACGGCAGGTTAATAAAATACAGTAGACTACCACAAAGTCATTGATCACTGAGCTTGTGCTGTCCTACATCAAGCAGCTGCCTTTCAAAACCCGTTAGTGACCGTAGGATTTGTTTACCCTGCTCTGCTCTCAGGATCCACTGCAGACTGGAGCAAAAGTTGCTCTTCGCATGCGACCAGTTTTGCTAAACAATTTCTCACCACTAATCATCCAAACCTCCTGCTGAGCTCTGAGTGTCACTTTAAATGCACGATTCACACTCATGTCGAGTGGCTGCAAATACTCTGTTGTGCCCCCAGGGAGCGGCCAGGAGAGAACAGAAGAACTTCGTTTACCACCCTCCCCAGTGGACCAATGGTCGGTTTCAATGAAACCAAGTTTCATTGGTCCACTGTGACCTGTTTGGTAATTCATTGGTCAGATTTTTTTTAAACCTTTATTCATACAGGTTGTCTCACTGAGTCACGAGGACCCACCCCTCAAGAGATGTGAATTGGACAGCTATATGAGCGTCCAGGTGTGACGAGGATAAATGTTTTGACGGCACGATGCTCGATAGCCCATAAAAAAAATCCAAAAATTAGCTGCAGCATTGTATAAACTGGGGGTTCAAAGCCTGAGAGAAAAGTAGCTGCTTATGATCTGGAAATTACAGTAATCCTTTAATGTTCTGAAGTGAAAACAAAGATTAGGAACTGTTAAAAAAATCTCCTGTGCATTGTGCTCATCGACAGAGACAAGAATCAACCCAGTTTACACCAGCAGTAACCTTTTTGCAACTTTTAGGCTTTTTCAAACATGAAAAATGCAACAATAAAGTTTTATAAGTTCTTCCTCTCATCATGCAGACGGACTCCCAACAGCGTCACTGTGATGATTTAGTGTTTGCCATTCAATCTCGTACTGCGGGAACAGGTCATGTTAGCATGCTCATTATATTGTGACATGGAGCGTATCGTCTGACGTGTTGAATCAGACACAACAACAAGGTTACCTTTCTAACAACTCATGCAGAAACATCTAATGCAACTTGTAAAATGAAAAGAAACCAGATCAACGTTTCTTTGAACGTTGTCCCTGTTTTCTAACACAGTGGTTCCTAAACTATTCAACTTCTGGCCCCCAGAACAATAATGAGCATTAAAAAGAAAATCACAAGGTTTAATTCAAAACAAATAAATAAAACTGAAAAAGTTACACAAAGATTTAAACAAATCTTTTATAAATCCAAGAATATATATTCATTAATCCCGTTAAATTACACTGAACAAAATGAAATGTTTTTATACATCACAAAATAAAATAAAAATCACTTCTCTACAAAACCTATCAGGGACTGTTCTGTTTACAGAGCCCATCCATCCATCCATCCATCCATCCATCCATCCATCCATCCATCCATCCATTATCTTTCGCTTATTCCAAAGTCGGGTTGTGGGGGCAGCAGCTTGAGCAGGGAAGCCCAGACATCTCTCTCCACAGCCTCTTCCAGCTCTTCTGGGAGGACTCCAAGGTGTCCTCATGCCAACCGAGAGACATAGTCTCTCAAGCATGTCCTGGGTCTTCCCCGGGATCTCCTCCCAGTCGGACATGCCCAAAACACCTCCCTAGGGAGGCATCCTTACCAGATGTCCAGACCACCTCAATTGGCTCCTTTCGATGTGGAAGAGCAGCGGTTCTACTTCGAGTCTCTCCCAGACAACTGAACTTCTCACGCTATCTCTAAGGGAGAGTCCAGATACCCTGCGGAGGAAACTCATTTCAACTGCCTGTATCCGCGATCTCACCCTCGACCTGAAGAGAGCAATCCACCCTTTTCTGACCGAGGACCATGGCCTCAGATTTGAAGGTGCCGATTCTCCTCCCAGCCGCTTCACACTCAGCTGCGAATCGCTCCAGTGAGAGCTGGAGATCATGGTATGATGGACCATGGACAGGACCACATCATCTGCAAAGAGCTGAGATGGAATCCTGAGGCCACCGAACCTGAATCCCTCCACCCCCTGGCTGCACCGAGAAATTCATTCCATAAAAGTTATGAACAGAATCGGTGACTACGGGCAGGGCGGGTGTATCATTTCAATCATCTGAAAAAGATGAAGCAGTGGGGAACCACTTCGCCCCTCCCAGTATGATGTGGCTACATTAATAGGTACCGATCAAACAAAAGCTTTTAATAGGAAATGCATTACAATGTATTACACCTTCCACACCATGTAGGTTATTTTGTTAACATTTTAAAATACTCTGTGATCAGAAAGATAGTAAAATAAAGCTCACTATACAAGTTTGGGAAATGTTTTACTTTAACAAGATAAAAAAAAGAAGGCTAAAAGTTTCATTTTGACTAAATGCAACTTACACAAAGCTTTGTCTGATAGTACATGTTCTGTTTTATTGAACAAAAAGAACTGATTCTGCTGTATTTGGGGGTGTTTATGGCTAAGAACACTCACCAGTGTGTTAGCTGTGTTGCATCTGCCTTATCATTCTGAAGAAACATAAATTAGACTGTGAGGAACACAAACATGAGCCCAGAGCTGTCTGCAGCCGCTCTGCTGTGTAGATGGGAGGTTTACCTCAGCTGCATTTACCACTGCAGAAGCCTGTTACTGCTTGGAAAGAGAATATATTTATCAGAGTCCCTTCCATTATTAATAAGCACGGAGTTAAAAGTGAATATGTATCAGAGGATCTGAATAATGTTAAAGCAGGGTCTGGATTCTGATTGTCTCACAGGGAGTATCAACAGTGCAACGCCTTTTTAGCCCAAATCTAATAAGAAGGAAGCACTGCTTTCATCTCCCCTGCTCCTCATGTTCTGCTGCTATGAGACCTGTAATTATGCAGAAGTTTGGTGGGGGCTTCTAAAATGAATGTGTAGCAGAAGAGATTGTCTTAAGTAGGTTGAAGATTTTAAAGCACAGCCTACTATAAAAATGTGATGTTTATCATGAATTGCTTACTCAAGTACATTTTTTCCTGCAAGTTCTCTCTTAATTGTTTCTTCTCCCTCTCTGCAGCATGTGAGGTGGGTTTCTATAAGCCGGCGGCAGGTGATGGCGTGTGTGGGAAGTGTCCTCAGCACAGTCACTCAGAGACCAGAGCTGCCGTCTCTTGCCCCTGTGACTCCAACTACTATCGAGCAGCAGATGACCCACCTGCAGCTGTTTGTTCTCGTAAGCCAAAGCACACTGTACAGCCAAAACATTAAAACCATCTCTACAGGAGGGGTGGGGATCTTTAGGCACCTCACTATTTGATTATGATTAAGAGGTCTGAGATGTAAATTAAAAAGTGGCATCAATATTGTTTTTTTTTTTTGTTGTTTTTTTGTTTTGCTTTGTTTTGAATGTCCAGAGGACCAGATTGAACTTTTTTGGATTTTTCTACCTGGATTATTGAGCATGCATCAGGCTACCACTGGATTGTTTACTGCTAACTCCTCTGGGACAAGGTGGAAATGTATGGAGCTGCCCAGTGGTTCACTCGTGGGGGGTGGGGTGTCACAGCAGAAGTTACATTTGAAGTAGCAAGAATCTGTGCCTTCCTGAGAGCAGTGTGTCATCATTATGATTTAACATTAGGATTATTGACAAATTATTATTTTCAAGATCGTCAACTTTTGAGTAATCCTTCAAACATGTAAACTTCTAAACATCACCTAATGTAAACTGCAGTTGTATAGACAAGTGTAAACAATATTTTACAACCTAATTATAATCAAAACAAGTATCATACTTGTCGCAGTGCACGTCACACTGCCGTGTAAGTCTCATCTGTTCAAATATGTCTAATAAAGTGAAAACAAAAACATAAATACGTCGCTTCGCCATATAAGTCACATCTACTATGCTTCACTTCTGACAACCCGGAAATGTGGGCCGGTGTTGTGTCAAAAATCGAATGGCTGCCAAATGGCGACCACGGGAGTGTGCACTGGGGATTTTAACAAGAATTTAACAAGATGAACACATAAAAACAATTATTTGTTTGCTCAAAATTATAGTAAAAGTGTGTCTCAGTTTAACTTTTCATAAATGTACTTTGACGGTTAAATGAGCTGCATTTCGCCTGGGTGGCACAGCAAAATGCAGCTGATTTGTTGTTTGCTCCAGGAGTTCCAGAGCGAGACGAAGGTGGAGTGGCATGGCAAGTCAAGTGTCTCTTTAATATCCACTTTTACCTATTAATGAGGCACTTGGTTTGCCATATTTGTCAAGGGCCCTCTAGTGGCTGAAAATGGTAGTGTTCAATATTTTCCATGTCAGAATGAATGAAATCGTCAGATCTCAGCCAAAAATTTGGTTATAAATATGGGAGGAAATAAAAACATGAATATGTTGCTTCGTTGTATAAGTTGCAGGCATGCTAAATTTAGTAAAAAACTGCGACTTATACCTTATACAGCGAAAAATATGGTAGACTTCCTAACTGGATGAGTGTTTAGGAGAACTCAGTCTCGTGAGACTGATGTTGATGAATATTACGGCCTGAATTTACTATTTAGTCTCTAAACCCTTCTGTCACTTCTGCTGCTGTGTTTGTTTCTGCATTCCTTAACATGACTTTAACAACATTTTTTTAGATTTTGCATTGATTTACAATCACTTATTTCTGTCGTACAATGCAACAAAACATAGATTATAACCACCAAGAACACCTTAAATCAGTGCAAAGCCGTGTACTGCATGAATAAATCAGAAGCTTCATCTTTCTGTCTGCAGGCCCTCCATCTGCTCCTGTAAACGTCATCTCCTCTGTCAATGGGACCTCTGTGGTTTTAGAATGGGACCGCCCTCTAGACACAGGGGGGCGCAGTGACCTGCAGTACGGTGTGTTGTGTCAGAAATGTTCTGTGGAGGGGCCCTGTGAGGACTGCACAGCTTCTCCCGGAGGCAGCGGTGGAGGGAAGGTTGGTGGAGGGGTGAGCCTTGGCGTGGGGGGAGGAGGGATTGTGGAACGTTCGGGCAGTGCTGTGGTGAGGTTCATTCCTCGTCACACGGGTCTGATGGAGCCTCGGGTGACGGTGCTGAATCTGGTGGCGCACACCAACTACTCCTTCTGCATCCTGGCAACAAATGCAGTGACTCACCTGAGTAATGAAGCCTCGCCGTGCGCCATTGTGAACATCACAACAAACCAGGCAGGTAGGGTTCACACAACGTGTATGCTGAATGTTGACTGATATTTGAAAACTTCATGTACATTATGAATGATTTGGGAGGGGTCACATACGGTGCTGTGGAAAAGTATTTGTCCCTTACAGACTTTTTGTTTTACTGTTTTTGTGATGCCTACCTATACGTTTCAGATCATCAAACATATGTTATTATCAGACAGTGCAAAATGCATATTGAAGTTTTAAATTATTCACCCATCCATCTATCCATCAATCATCATCTTTACCCACTTTTTCCTTTTCTGGTCATGGGGGTCACTGGTGCTCATGTCCAGCAATCACTGTGCGAGAAATGGGGGACACCCTGGACAGGTCTCCAGTCCATCACAGGGACACATAGAGACAAATGAGACAAACAACCATTCAGAGTCAGAGATTCTTTATTGTCGTTCGCACCACATGTGGTACATGTGGTGGAATGAAATTATGTACACAGGGTCCCAGTTACATCCAACAATAAAATGTAAAAGAAAAACAATAATAACATCTAAGATATGAACCAAGAAAAACACCAACTAAAAATACACTAAACACTAATAGCGTAAAAACATTATGTCGAACAGCAGCACGAACATGAGTCTCTGTGAGCAGATGTGCACGCATGAACATATCAACATGAAACAGATCAGCAGCAACACTGAAACAGATCAGCAGCAACATGATGTGATTTTTCACAGAGATTATTCTGGTTAGATATTTATGAGTCTAACAGCCTCAGGGTAGAAGCTGTTCCTCAGTCTAGTGGTTCTACACTTAATGCTCCTCAACCTCCTTCCTGAGGAGAGCGAGGCAAAAAGTGTGTGTGCTGGGTGAGTGTGGTCCTTCATGATGCAGGTGGCCCTCTTCCTACATCTGGAGGTGTAGATGTCTGTGATGGTGGGGAGACTGACTCCAACATCTTCTGTGCAGCCTTCACCACTCTCTGCAAAGCTTTTCTTTCTGCAGCTGTGCAGCCTCCATGCCACACGTTGATGCTGGAGCACAGGATGCTCTCCACTGCACACCTGTAGAAGGAGGTGAGGACTGAGCTTCCAGACCAGCTCGCCTCAGCCGTCTGAGGAAGTAGAGTCTCTGATGAGCTTTCTTCATCAGGCTGGTGGTGTTGTTGCTCCAGCTGAGGTTGTTGTTCAGGTGCACACCCAAGTACTTGTAGCTGGAGACCACTTCCACCGCAGATCCTCTTATGTTCAGGGGGGTATAGGTATGTTTGTTCCTTCTGAAGTCCACAATCATCTCAAAGTGCATCAATTTGTCTGAAATTTTTTAAAAAAATCTATCCTTATTTAAACTGTAAACATTTTTTGACCATTTGATACTGAAATATCATATTGAATACAATCAATAAATAATAATAAATTCAAATTGATCAACAACATTTTGTCAGGAGTGTTATATACAACACTTTGACCTACAAAACAAAAATGAATAAAATAATTTGTGCTGGTTTTTTTTTGTTTTTTTTATCAAAATGAGGAAGTCAGGATTAATGGCTACAATGAGCATGTTTTGTAGTGCACAGCTTTTTGAAGCGCAGTTTGAAACATGATCCTGCAGCTCTCAGCTCCTGCTCAATGTTTAGCTGGACCTGGACTTGGGCTTCAGTGCTGCAACAGCATCTCTGCTGCGCAAGAGCGAGTGGGCTGGCTGGCTGAGGTGGGGGGTGGGCAGTCCAGGGGAACGCGCTCACAAGAGAAGAACCTGACAAGTTGTTTAATGACATAAAATATATTTTATTAGCAAAGAATGGAGTCCTTGTAGCAGACACAAATGTATATATTTCCCGTCAGAATGTGCTCCTATTGTGAAAGGGACAGAATATAAACGGAGCAGATCTTTTCTGAGTGTGATGTTGGAAGACGTAGAGAATAAATCGAGACTCAAAATATATTTCGTCTCTTTCTAACGACTTCCTCATTGGTGACCCCGAACATCTGAACAGGTTTTCGAATGAGAACTCACCAGATGCTGTAGCTGCTTCTCCATCAGCCGTGTTTTCGGACCGGGTTTTTTGCTGGGCAGATGTCGGTCCAACCGCCATGGTTTCGTCTCCTGCCGCCACTTCATCTGCTGTGTTTGCGGCCATTGTTAAGCTTCCAGAGTTCTGGCAACACGATCTGGAACCACGGTTCCAGCATGTGGAAGCCCAGTTTCATCTCCATGGGATAACTGCAGACAAGACCAAATACTTTCATGTCAATGCTGCTTTGGATTCTGGTTCCACCCGCTGTCTGATGGGTCTGCTGCAGCACCCACCAAGCACTAACAAATACAGTGCACTCAAGGAGAATCTGCTGCAGCTTTACCAACTGTCAGACGTGGAGCGGGCTAACAGTTTGTTGTCCCTGAATGGCTTGGGGTATCGCAAGCCCTCCGAGCTGATGGAGAACATGCTGGCGTTACTTGGCTCACGGGATGCTTCCTTCTTTTTTATGCACCTGTTTCTTCGCCAGCTTCTTCCACCTGTTCGCACCGCGCTGGCTAGCTCCCTGCTGATCCGGACAAAGGATTATCACTCCCTGGCTGAAGAAGCGGACCGACTTTTGTTAGCTTCCAGGCACTACACTGTGCAGACACTTTTACCAGGTGTGACTCAAAGGGGGGCGGAGGCTTTTGATGCCGTGGTTGCGGTGATGGAGCGGCGGAAGAATGACCTGCTTTGCTTCTACCACCGCTGATTTGGAGTAAAAGCGAAGCGCTACATTCCTCCATGTTCATTCCATGTATCAGGGAAACAAGAGGGCGACCCGGGAGAACTCTCAATGCACCCTGCTCTTCTCCCTAAATCCACGAGATGCTCTGCCACTGGGGGTGAACATGTTTGCACATAAACCATGGCCAAAGACGCTGATTCATGCCTTCCCTCTAATTCCCCTGATAACAGCACTGTTGGAGAGGGTAAGACAGGAGAATCTGAAAATAATTCTGATTGCCCCAGAGCACATGAACGCCTCGTAGGTTCCGGTCCTGCAACAGCTGATGGGTCAACCATGGAAGTTGCCGTGGAAGGAGGATGCATGGGAGGAGCAATCAGGAGCCCTCTTAGAATAGGTCAGCCCCTTTGGGTCTGGCCACTGAATGAGAACGCTTAGAAAAATTGGGGTTTTCCAAAGACGTAATATGTTCCATCCAGGCGGCATGTGCAAAATCCACTACGGCTGTTTATGTTTCTAAATGGGCTGCTTTTCAGCGATGGTGCCTAGACAAGGAGGTGGACCCGACTTCATGTTCTCTGGGCTGCATTTTATCCTACCTGCAGCTGCTGTTGGACAGAAAGTTAGCTTTCAGCACAATTAAAACGTATGCTGCAGCAATCTCCTCCTGTCATGAAGGTTTCAACGACAGAACAGTTTTCAATCACCCTTTAGAAAAACTGTTTCTGAAAGGTGCGTGCCGGCTCAGGCCAGTGACGCGCACCCTGGCACTACAGTGGGATTTAGTCTTCGTTCTCAGTGCACTAACTAAAAATCCATTTGAGCCCCTGGACCAGATACCTTTGAAGTATCTGTCGCTCAAAACAGCCTTGTTATTAGCTCTGACATCAGCTAAAAGAGTGAGCGACTTGTCAGGTTTGTCCGTCGCTCCTTCTTGTCTTCGAATTCAAGGAGACGGGAGCTCAGCAGAACTCCGACCAAACCCTGCTTTTATACCCAAAAGCATAACAAGTTTGTTCAGGTCCAGAGTCGTTACGCTGGATGGGTTCTGTCCCCCTCCTCATAAAACTACAGAGGAGAAACAATTTCACCTGCTGTGTCCAGTACGCTCGCTCAGGTGTTATGTGACACGCACAGCCACGATGCGTAAATCCAATCAGTTATTTGTACATTTCAGAGAACGATCACAGGGTCAGCCTTTATCTTCCCAGCGTCTGTCACATTGGTTATGTGAAGCTATTTCACAAGCTTATAGTTCTTCTGGTCTTCAACCGCCTGAAGGACTCAGGGCTCATTCCACCAGAGGGACTTCTACCTCCACAGCTCTGCACAGAGGGGTGTCTGTGCAGGACATCTGCTCTGCAGCTTCATGGTCATCACCGACCCCTTTCATCCGTTTTTATTTACAACGTGTCTCCAGCTCTTCACTGACGCATTCGATTCTCAGAGTTATGTCAGAGTGATTGTTCACAATCACACAACAAAAAAAAAATGAAATAAAATAAAAACAACAAACAATAAAACAACACAGCCCTGCTCTGTCATTATTAGTGGGTGTTTTCTACAATTACTCGTTCAAACAGGAAAATTCCTTCTTCCCCATTGGAAATTTTTCCTTTTCTTATTCCTCTATTGTCTGATATGAATAAACATTCCTTCAGTTAAGATCAGGCACAAAGGCTGCACGCCTGTAATCCAGTATGCACCAGGTACATGGATCAATGGTGAGTAATTATGCTTGAATAAAGACAGAGGTTTAGGTGGATATCAGGGTGTTTTTATGGTTCTCGGACAGACCCAGTGAGGCATGGACCACATTCTGCTCCACCCTTTAAACCCAGTAGCGACAGCTTTTAAAGGGCGTAGCTTACACGAAATGGAACGTTGATTACGTATTGTAACCCCAGATTCTGAGTGTAAGCGTAGCCCTTTAAAAACGGGGCCTCACTGGCTCTCAAAAGACTGAAGAAAAAGAGTAAGCCTTTGGGAGTCGAGCTCCGGTCCAGATGCAATTTATAACGGACCGGTGGGGCCCACTCAGCAGGTGGGCGTGGATTAGAAGTTTTCAGTTTTCAGTGTTCAGCGCGCTGTGCACGGGTAAACCCAATAGCGACAGCTTTTAAAGGGCTACGTTTACACTCAGAATCTGGGGTTACAATACGTAACCAACGTTCTATCTAAGCAGTATTTCTGCATAAAACAAACAATGAACAAAGCAATTCCTTTGAAATGTCAATAAGATGTTTAATTTTGAATAAAACTTAGAATGCAGTTAAAACAATACTGACCATGTTGGAACAGAAAAAAAAACTTGTTTCTGTTTTGTTTTGTTTGTTTGTTGCTCTAAATAAAAAAAAAATGCAAATGACTCTAAACAGTCAACATCTACACCAGACCCTCGGGTGTTGAAAACAATCATATGAATTATTAATACAGTCATTGTAACAGTTTTATGAAACAAATCCTATTTTCCAGCTGGTGAGGAGTTTTGATTGGAGAAATGCTTCAAAAATAACATTTTGTTTGGTTCTGTGAGGGTGTTGGTGTTAAAATCCCGTTCATTCCGAACAGTCTGCTCTCACTAAATCAGCATTTAAAAGCCTTTAAATTTGTAACAGCTGCTCTAGTGACAACATATTTTTTTTGGACAGTTTCATCTCAAACTTAAAAACACGATTTTCTCTTTGTTCTACAGCTCCCTCCGAGGTGTTAGCCATCCGCCAGGAGAACACGAGTCAGAACAGTGTGATTCTGCTGTGGCACGAACCCAACCAGCCCAACGGAGTCATCCTGGAATACGATGTTAAATACTACGAGAAGGTCCGCACCTCGCACACTGCACATCATGACAGCTATAAAATCCATCCATCCATTATCTTTACCCGCTTCTTCCATTTTGGGTCACGGGGGGTCGCTGGTGCCCATGTCCAGCAATCACTGTGTGAGGGGCGGGGTACTCCCTGGACAGGTCTCCAGTCCATCACAGGGACACATAGAGACAAACAACCATTCACTCTCTCTCTCACCTAGAAACAATTTAGAGTTACCAATCAGCCTAACATGCATGTTTTTGGACTGTGGGAGGAAACCGGAGTACCCGGAGAAAACCCACGCATGCACGGAGAGAACATGCAAACAAAATTAGGTTTGAACAAATTCCTCTAATTGCTCAGAAGCAGCCTGGGAGCCTGCAGTCTCATAGCTTCAATCAGCAGAATGTTGTGGGGAGTGCTGAAGGATTACCTTGTCTCTTGCTCTGCTTTCTAATCTGGCCTAGTTTGTGGGAGCATGGGGATAAGTTTGTGTGTGTGTGTGTTGGGGGAGGGGTGGATTCAAGTGGACAAGTCAGCACTGTGCTTTTGAAAGGTTTCTATAGTAGAGTAGCGGGCAGCTGCAGCACCTCATTAGCGGAGGACATTGAATCCTTCATGAACACACATCAACAGTCAGTCAGAAGCAGCTTTTATTTGTCTCCACTGGACAACACAGCATTGATGAGAACAGTCACCTTCAAGGTTAATTAGCTCTGAAGAAACATCAAAATCTTGGATACAATAATGAATACATGAACCAAAAACTAAGCATCTTACAAAATGAGCCTGACATTTTGCTTTTAAACATGACATTCTAAATCCTAAATGAAGCTAATGATGGGAATAAAACAGAAATTGAGATAAATACTTTTAACGTTTTGGAATTACTCTGGCTGAAAGAAGCAGATCAAACGACATCTTATCTGATCTGCAGATACATCTGACTGGAAGATCAAATTTGATTAAATGTGTAGCTATTCTTACATCCTCTGTTGCTCATCACTGGTCGGGTCTCGGGCAGATCCAGGAGGGAAACTACAAGTCAGACAACATGTACTGCATGTATGTAACATACATGTTGTACCATCCAACGTGGAACAACCAGACTCTTCAGGTATTTTTCATGTGGTTTAAATGTTTTAAATAATCCCACTTCCTGTTCTGACTGAAAACTCTGAGGACAAACAATTCAAGTCTTGGGGGTTTGGATGTCTGTACATTCCATCCATCCTTCCAACCATCCATCCATCCATCATCCACCCATCCATCCATCCATCCATCCATCCAACCATTCATTCACCCAGCTACCCAACCATCCAATCCCCCATCCATCCATACGTCCACCCATTCATCATCCATCCATCCATCCATCCACCCATCCATCCAGGAGCAGCGTGTGTGTACTCAGCATTCTGAACACCACAAGTCCTGTTGACATTACTCTAGTCATAAACCAGAGGACTGCTGCTGCCACACTATCCTCAGACGTTAGCTTATTGAATTACTGCATGAAAACAATAATTATGCATACTCAACAGACAGGGTGAAGCAGTGATCGATAGAAAATCAAAAAAGTGCATTTGAATTATTTAAAACACCTGTCAGCTTATAAACATTCTTTACTTATTACTAAGGGTTTTTTTTTTCATTCAACCTTTATTTAGACAGATAAATCACATTGAGCCTCAAAGACTCATTTACAAGTGAGACCTGTTTGGACAGACAAAAAAGTGGTAAACTGGACACATGTAGGAATTGGAGGCAAAAAAATTCCTATCAGACTTTTTTTTCCTGCCTGAGAAAAAATACCTCTGATATTAAAAAACACCTCGCACAAACAAGCATATAGTGACATAGACATTCTGCAGAGGGGGGAGGCGAGAGTGGTGAGCATGCCATAGATGCTCTCGAGGGCACTGTAAGAGTTCTGATAAGGATGTAATAATCAGCCAGTGTCCTCCGGTGAGATCCATAAACATTCTTGAGGGATGTCGGGGAATGGCCAAGAATAACAACTATGAGAATCCAAGAGTCCTGAAATGCTGACACAAGTTTGTTCAGCTGGTTTCATCTGGTTATCCGTTTGAAATTCCTCAGGTAGGGGGTGGTGAGCGTCAGATCACATGTTCTCCAGGCAAATTCAAATAAGATGGCTTTGAAGGCCACCCATGGGAGCCAAATTCAGATAAACACAGTTGTTTTGGGGACAGGCAGAACTTAATGACATCTACCTTGAGTCTGTGTTGGTCCACTCGGTTCCGAAATGTCCAAATTACATGGTCACACCGATGGAATGTGACTGAGTAAAATCCCCGAGATCTGATCCATTCTGCCCAAAGCATTTGAGTCCGGGTACTCGAGACACGAACCAAGCCATCAAAAAGGTAATCAGCATGATCGGGTCCAAATTTGCTGCCGATGATTTCCTTGATTGATTGATAAAACCAGCAACCAGCTGAATCCAAAAAGCAGGAACCAGTTATCGAAAATACAATTAAATATGCGTCCTTAAAATCCACAGATGGCAGCAGAGATAGACACATCATCAAGTCTTCAATTCGATGAGATGTCCAGCTGTGTGCGTGCCAACAGAGCAAATCGGCTCGCCTAAAGCCTGTCTTCTCTTGAAGAAATGTTGTAAATTGAGTTGAGGGCCCAACTGATCAAAACAAGTCCATAATTATGGTTCAGAAGAAATGCAAGAGTCTCAGAAGCAGTTTCACAGACAGAGCAGCAAAGCGGAGAGGGAGGGGAGGGAAGAAGCATCCGATCTCAGCAAGAGCAAGTGCTGATACAGATGACTCAATTTTCTTCTGTTTCACTGCACATTAAACAGGAGTATTAGATGAACATGATATGTAAAGTTCCTGTTTGTCTAAAAAACATCCTATGCTGTGACAAAGATGGAGCCTTTCAGGTGTTTTTGGAGTAAAAATCTTTGAGTCTCTGTCTGATTTGTTAAGAGGAGACATGTTGACTAGACCATCACTAATAACAACTTATAAAGGATTCACATCCAGCTGCAAAAGTTTTTTCTTGAGACACTGCAGAATAATTAAAATGATTTGAGGATGACTCAAATCATTTTCATCAGGAAGCCTCCAAGTAACTGATGACAGATAGATGAATCATCTGATTGTTGAAGTCTAAAGTCTAATTACAGAACATTTTCCCCAAGAGTATTTTATAACTGTGTCATGACCTTAAGGTTTGTAAAATCTGTTCATTTGTGACACTCAGTCATGTTTGTTTTATTTAAATCATTTTCTGTTCCACATTATGTTCATAATTCTCCCCGTCACAAGTTTCATTTACAGTAATAAATATGTATATATAGTAGTCCCTCATTTATCATGGGGTTTCCATACCCTGAAGACATGTGATAAATAAAAAACTGCAAAGTAGGGATAGTAGTACAAAGTAGGGATAGTAGTACAATTAGTAAGTAGTAATTTATTATATATATATATATATATATATATATATAA